TAGTCTTTTTTTCTTTCAGAATTTCGAGCAAGAAAACCCTCGCCGCAGACCTCAAGGAAAAGAAGAAGATCCCGAATGATGTGATTTTAGCTGTTGAGGAAAATCTTGTGACCGGGGATATAGACTAACTGCAAATAAGCGCGTGTGCGGAATACTAGTGTAGCCCAACTAGTGCCAATTTATCAACGCTTGCACTGCAGGGCCCACAGTTAATTACCACCATGGAAGGTCTCTAAGACAAATAGAACAATACCATTGTAGAAAACTTTTCCATTTTCCCGGGATTTCCATTTTTAAACTCTACCTTTCCCGTGGGCTGCAATTTTCGAGTCAAACTCGTCCATTCATCATGAATATCAATGAGAAGGGAAGCGTGAATGACACAGAGCTGGGAAGCCCCAGGGACTCTACCGAGGAGCATGAAGTCTTCAAGAAGACCGAGGATGGCGTCAGCTTCCGCGGTGTTGGCTGGTTTAAGGCGTGTATTATCTTCGTGAAGGTCCTCTTCGCGACGGGTGTGCTGTCGCTGCCAGCTTCATTGTACTCCCTCGGTGCGGTGGGTGGCTCGATCAGTATCGTCGCATGGGGCGCATTCAACACTTACTCTTTCGTGATTCTGGGCAACTTCCGCAAGAAGCATCCTCACTGCCACTCCATCGCCGACATGGCGGAGGTTGCTGGCGGTTTCTTCGCGAAGGAGCTTACCGGCATCCTCTTTCTCATCGGCTACGTTCTTGTGACGGGCAGTGGTATCATTGGAGTTTCAACTGCATTGAATGCCCTGTCCCACCACTCTGCGTGCACTGTCTGGTGGTCTTTGATTGGAGCGGTTGTTATCATCGCGACAGCTTCGGTGCGCAAACTCCAGCATGTGGGCTGGCTCACATATGCAGGATTTATTTCGATCTATGCCGCAGTTCTGATCGTTGTCATCGGAGTTACAACCCGCGACCGGCCGGCCGCTGCACCCCAGGAGGGCCCTTATGACCTGGGCTACGTGGCTATCAACAACCCCGGATTTGCTGCTGGCATGGTTGCTTCCAGTACTATCTTCGTCTCCACGGCTGGTACCAGCGCCTTCATCCCGGTAATGTCGGAGATGCGCAACCCGAAGGACTACAAGAAGGCGTTGTACCTGTGCATGATTGTGGTTAACGCGTCGTATCTTGCATTCAGCTTGGTTGTCTATCGTTGGTGTGGACAGTGGGTGGCTAGTCCGTCTTTGGGTGTATGTATTATCTCCGTGGTGGTGGTATCGGGTATAAGTAACTTATTCTTTTCTATCTACAGAGCGCTGGGCAGACGATCAAGATGGTGTCTTATGGTGTTGCACTGCTGGGACTGGTCGTGAGCGCCACGATCTACTTGCACGTGAGTATCTTCCTCGCGACTGATGCGTTCAGAACTGACTTCGCAATTTAGATCGCCGCCAAATACATCTTTGTCCGTATCTTAGGTAACACGCGTCATTTGCAAGCCAACACTGTCGTTCATTGGGTGACTTGGATGAGCTGCACGATCGGTCTCGGTGCTATCTCCTTTATCCTTAGCGAGACTATCCCCATCTTCAACTACCTGGTTGCCCTGATTGGGTCCGTCTGCTTCGCCCCTCTGGCCATGTGTCTTCCTGGTTTCTTGTGGCTGCACAGCAACAGTCACTACCGGAAGGGTACACTTGTGCAGAAGGTGATCTACTTGCTGCACTGGGGAATGGTACTTCTCGGAATCTTCTTCCTTGTTGGTGCGACTTACGGTGTCATTATTCAGATCATTGATGCCTATGCAACAGGAATGATTGGTATGTTTTGGTGTATCCTAACAGTGGAGAACTTTCGACTAACCCTTTTTTATCAGGCTCCTCTTTCAGCTGCCTAGACAACTCGAACTCCTCGTAAGCGTTGGTTTTCGGGAAAATACTGTGTTTTATCGAGCTGCCTGGGGATCAGCCTTGGAGTATTGATATATGCGCTTAGCACCTGGTGTGAACGGTTATAATGAGTGGTGGTAATGAATGGTGGTTATGAGGGAATTATATAATGAGGGCCCGGGTGGTCATAATGTAATGAGTTGTTATGGACTGGTATCAAATTCGGTTTTTCTTTTTTTTTTCCCCGTAGACTCGCCTAGCACACACACACCTCATGTCCAGGTGCCGCTATGACAAAAGCTAGCCCCCCCGCTAATGTAGGTACCGTCTCCACCTTTACCCAAACCTGGTCATCGTGCGGTTCACGGACGGAGTTCCGCGAGCTTGGGAACCCAGCTCTAACTTAATTAGGCATCGCCTTTGTCTATCAAAACTTTGATTCCTTCCCGTTTCCTTTTTTTTTGGTCGGGTATGAGACTTTCTTGTGCAACATCCCGAGGTACTGGTCCCGCTTTCACGACACACACCATTATGTGAGTGCTCTGGACTCAACCATCACTAAATTTCAGATTCCGGGCATCCCGTATGGATCCACCCGCGTCGGCCCACTGCTTTGAAGTTGTGCGGCCTCGCGGCCGCGGATACGGGGACTGAAGTTCCTATGGACTTTGGCGATGCCTTATCGCAGCTGCCAGCCGTTGCCGATCTCAAGGAGCTCGCGATACGACTGCTTCACCCTGAGTCGCGCGACCCTGAGGTGGAGCTCGCTATCATGTACTCCATACTCCGTACAGGCTTTCGATAGCCAACCCTTGAATGTTATTAGCCTCTGCAATATCGAATTCGAAATACACGAACACGGCCTTTGAAAGGGTGAGACCCAGGGATCTCCACCTGGTCCGCGGTACTTAGCCCACACGTGTGTGAGTTAGTAGGTCATCGCCAACAGATTTTGGGGAAATGATCTCCCGGTAGAGACACCTACAGGGGTATCCCATATCTGCGAGTGTCTCATCTGCGCTCAAATTGAGACATAAGCTCCAGTCCACCTTTCCATATATTCGCAGTCAAAATACCGTGGACCTTAACTAGGCTCCACTTTTGATAAGTCAGGGTTCTTACCAGGAGGATCACGTTCGCACCCAAATGGACATTTTGAGTCTCCTTTTATAAATTTTTTGCCCTTAAAACAGGGGATTGTGGTCATAACATCCCCATGGCCGCCAGCCTTTATTATTCGACTACCCCGGTTATGGTCGGTTGTCCCCTTTTAGGTTACCGGCTTGGCAATAATCTCGGCAGCAATCCTTCGTCTAGGCGAACGCGGGGTATCCTATACCGGCCTACCCTAGAAACGAAAAATTACCTCGGATATGTTGTAAATACAGTGAGATAGGCTGGTGCTATAAGTGGCATAACTAAGGTCCTCTGTCACCGCGACATTTCCAGAATCAACCAATACCCCCAATCATACTCTGTACACCTACAGTTTAGTTCACAATGCCTCTTCCTAAATATATCTACAACGGCCCAATCGACCACACCGTGGTTCCCGATCTAGCCAATGCCAAAGGCAAATCCGTCATCATTACCGGAGGCGCAAATGGAATGGGTGAGGCTATGGTGCGCGCCTTTACTGAGGCCGGCGCCTTTGTCACCTTTGGCGACCTTCACCCCAGAGGAGACGATCTCGCTAAGGAATTGAACGCCAAGGGTGAAACCGCTGCGTTCGTCAAATGCGACATTACAGACTGGGACAGTTTGATTACCCTGTTCGAGACGGCCAAATCCAAGAGTCCGCACAACAGCGTTGATATTGTCATTGCCAATGCAGGAATCTCGCGTGCCTCAGGTGACAGTCTGTGGACTCTCGATGGTAAGTCTATCTATATGTGGTAACTTTAAGTTCAAGATACTCGAAATTTGGGCGTGTATATTTCCGTAAAACCAAGGCACTGACAGTCCATAGACCCTAACAGGGAACCCACCAAGCCTAATCTGAATATTGTCCGTGTCAACATGGACGGGACATTTTATACCTGGAAACTCGCCGTTCATTATTTCAGGAAACAACCCGATACCGAGGACCGAGACCGTTGCTTCATCATGACAGGAAGCATGGTTGCATACATTGATTCACCGGTAAATATGCCGTCTGCACCCTCCTTGAATTATTTGCCCTTTATACAAGTAATTCAGTGACTAATCCATCGCATTAGGGAAACTGGGAGTACACAGCGACTAAGTATGGCCTCCGCGGCTTCATGAAGACCGTGCGCCGAAACAGTTGGGAGCAAGGAGTCCGAATCAACTATGTCGCGCCATGCTGGATCAAAAGTGCCATTCGTACCAAGGAATACGAGGATTGGCTGATTGAGCGTGGCGTCGAGTTTGGCGAACAGGCCGATTGCGCCGGTGCAATGATGCGGATCGCCTGCGATAAATCCATCAACGGTATGTCGACTCACACTTCTCCTCTTTTTACCTTGTCTTTAGACAAGATATCATAGCGATATTACGGCTAACGTTGCCCTACCAGGACGCTCACTCATGATTACCCCGAGGTCCTTTGCCAAGGAGGGATTCGTGGATGTAAACAAGGAAGACTATTCCGACCCCAAAGATGAGTACTTTGCCAAGAAGCAAGCGTCGCAGTTGGTCATTATCGAAGATAAATGGCTGGATGATTATAAAGTGAGGATTTACAAAGATTGAGTCGCATTTCACTGCTGACTCGGAGCAGAGACAGGGTCAAGGGCGGAGATCGTGAGCAGCAGCTTTTACTATAGTGGCACATCTGGTCTAGTCTTGGAATCAATTCAGTTTCAATTTTTAAATTCCTGTGTTGGATACTTATCATCACGCGCCCATATTTTCCATTTGCAATATATCTGGACAACCGCCTATCGGCGTTTTTAATACGGATATAGTAGCTCCATACCATAATCCGGAGAATGCTTCGGTACAAAGTAAACGACCGTTCGGTATGCTCGGCTATGTCGGCAGCGCACGGCCGAACGGAGGATCCCACTAATGAGTAGTACTTAGGACTTCTGTAGTCTATATACATATAAGCGGCCATAATTCGAACATTGGCACGCACACCCACTCATACTATATAGATCAACACATCATGACAGTTTCTGCAAGCATTAGCATCCCGTCGTCTATGTACGCGTGGAGGAAGCATAAGGGAAACCCTGAGCCTGTGAGTAACGACATATTCACTAGGAGTAAGCGTTGCTAATAGCCATGCTGGTCTGGGAAGAGGTACCAGTTCCTGCAACTCCCAAGGGAGGATTCTTAGTGAAATTACTAGCCTCTGGGGGTGAGTATTTAACGGCTGTCCTTGGGCTTCACATGACGTCTTCTAGAGATCCTAATACCTGCTTGCTAGTGTGCCATAGCGACCATTCACTTCTCACGAGTGAAAAACAGCGCCCTTGGTTTCAAGAGAAATACACCCTGGTATGCTGATCATGGATCACGTCTTGTGCATCAAGCTATAGGAAATTCAAAATGTTGACCAGATTTCCTTGTTTTAAGGGTCATGAAGGATGTGCCGAGATTGTACAGATAGGCGACCAAGTGAAAGACGCCGGTTTCAGCGTGGTAGGTTTTCCTGGGAGACTTCTAGAAGACAAATTGGACCTAACAACATGTATAGGGAGATCGAATCGCGACTATCGCGGTTCCTGGCTGTGGATCAGAGAACTGTGCGGAGTGCTCACGGGATCTCGCTCAGCTATGTGAGCAAGCCCATCACGCCGGTATTGGTCAGGACGGCTTTTATGCACCATATGCAGCGCTAGATCTGCGAGCAGTGGTTCATGTCCCGGAAGGTTTGTTTCCAGGATAGTGTTATGCGGCTTGGTCTAACAAAATTGTTAGGAATTCCGTCATCCGTGGCAGCAGTGGCAACGGATGCCGTCAAAACGAGCTATCACGCCATCGTGAGACGCGCAGAGGTCAAGTCTAACGAGACAGTATTTCTGTTTGGCCTTGGAGGCCTCGGGTTCAATGCGTTGCAAATTGTTCTGCATATCGGGGCTCGAGTTATTGTTTCTGATATTCGACAAGAACGGCTGGAGGAAGCTGCACGGTGGGGTGTTCCTCGACAGGATCTAGTACCAGCTGGGAAGTCAGTACAGGATTTTGTGCGTGAAAATGGGTTGCAGGGGAAGATTGACACTACCCTGGATTTTGTGGGAACGCACCAGACTTTCCAGGATGCACAAAACATTGGTAAGTATTGCGCAACAGAAATATCCTATGGCACTGACCATTTCCTAAGTTCGAAGGGGAGGAAAGCTTCTCTGTGTTGGTACTATCGACGAGGAAAACACAGTCGACATGAAGATTGGGATCCAGAAAAGACTAAGCATTATCTTTACGTACGGCGGGCAATGGAGAGATCTGAAAGAAGTCCTGGATTTGATCTCGAAGGGAGTAATTCAGCCGCAGGTTGAGACTGCTGGCTTGAGGGAATTCCCCAATATCTTAAAGAATGTTTGTGATGGAAAGGTCAAAGCCCGGGTTGCCCTGCTGCATGAGTAGCATCCAGGCTAGAGCACATTGAACAACATTATACTGCTCTCAAATTATAATGTAGATATGTTTATCTCATAATCCTTATGAATGCTACAATAAGGGCTTAATGTTCGGTATTCTTTATTTCTCCCAAGTAACCTTTTTGCTAACATGATCTAGCGCTGTCAAAATCATGTGGCTTCAATCGCCAGCTCCCAATTACCCCCAATCTTGCTACCTAGGTAGTCAAATATTTACTGGAATCTTTGAATGATATTGTAGCGTTTGTTTTGACAACTATGGAGACTGCACGCAGATAAATGCGGTATATAGTTCTATACTTCCTGATGGAACGCGTGAACATTGTGACAGGCCTATAGCCCTCATATAAATAATCGGGCTGGTCTCCTTTACAAGCCTTTCGACTTCCAAAAGGGTTCCAGATCCCGGAACCAAGTCCACTTGACATTTTGGGCCCACCCTTTCTCCTTCCAATCGTTAAGACTCAATGGGAAGTGATCCACACCATCTCTAACACTCGCATCATGTGCAATAATAACAAATATGTTCTCGTCGCAGTCCAATTCTTGTAATTGGTCACGAGTCTTTTGAGCAAGGGGGATATCATGACCGAAGCACATTTCATACATCGTATCTGTTGGTTTCCTTCCTCTCGTGTGCTGCAGATCATCGAAAACACTTCCCGGGCAGAATGGTACATCGCTCTCTGTGTTATACGGATGGGGGGATATTTCTGGGGGCACAGGAAGATATTTTGACGGTCGAAAGATGCCCGCATAATGACAAATATCTCCTCCCATCATCACAAAGGTAGGTGGATTTGCAGTCGTTCGCGCTAGACCGCAAAGATGTCCGATTGCATGTCCTGGACTGTCTAAGAGGTAGAATGACCCATCGCCGAAGTAATCGACAGCAGGGAATTTCCCAATACGCAGGGCATCAGGACCATCGAATCGGATCTCACGGAGGGATCGACCACTATAATAAGTTAGATTCAAAACCTGAAAGGGAATCAGGGTTATTCCGCGATGACACTAGAACTTACGCATAATCACTCTCCCGGATGGGGGATTTAGGATTAGCAGGATAACCAGGCAACATCGCATCCTTGAACCCGGCTCCCACGATCAAATCCGTGCTGCTAGGGAAACTCGATGGGTCACCTATGTGGTCCCAATGCCAATGGCTGTAAAGTCGTCGTTAGTTCTGTGTTGAAAGGCTGCAATGCTTTGAAATTAAATACCTCCAGATAACTGCATTAATGCTTTCTCCAGAGATGCCATTCTCATCCAGGATATCGACGACGTTCTTTGATACTTGTATGTTGTAATTTGTTGTTGGTATATAATTCGCAACAACTGGAGCATAGTTTTGATAATCCTTCCGGATTCCCAGATCAAATACCAACTTTTGACCTGAGGGATGTTCCAAAAGGAACGTCAAAACAGGCCCTGGTTTCTTTGTTTCCACACCAGGCACAGGAGGTTCCATGAACCGTTTGATGATAGCTGGACCGAAATTGACGGGGACGATCATTTTCACGCTAACCACCTCCTTGCCAGGAGGCAGCTCGATAAGTGGTCGACTAGTTGCCATGTTTATTTTCAGTTGGGATTTTCTTTCAACCTGAAGCGAATATGATACATATGCCTTTTTCTTTATGCGACCTGCAGTCCACGCGATGTGGAACGCCCCGCTCTTGGGCGGTATCGGCCGTGGGACACTATCGGTATTTCCGGATTTGGATAACCATCGCGAGTCTCCCCCCCACATCTTCGGCTCCTATCTCCTTCGTTGTGTTACAGGTTCTAGCCTTCCATGGTTTGGCCTCGTAATTCTCCGCGCTTCCCCGCATTTATGCCCCCGCGTTTTCGGGGGCTAAACGCTCGTAGCATCACCTGCTCATCATGGACGGCTGTAAAGCTTTAATAAACATTCCGGCTATCCCATCGGTAATCCTGCTAGGGAGTTTCCGTCGGCTGTCTTATTATGCCTACATGATAATAACACTATTACGCACACGACGGAGGTTAATCATGCCCAGAGATTGGCACTCTGCAGCTCGGTATGGATCTCTTCCCCAGGAATCCAGTACGATATGTCCGGAGATAAAAAGGGGCTCCCAGCCATCGCCATGAAGGCTGCTTTGGTCTTCTAACACACAGGCTAATTATATTCAGACATTTACTATGACCTCAATTAAGGAAGATGTCTCCCATATTTCGAATGGCGAAGAGGGTGACTTGAAAAAGCTCGACACCGCGCACGGAGATGAAGCGATTAAGGTCCTCGCTGTATATGAGGGTGATCAAACCTGGACTCCAGAGGAGGAGAACAAGCTGCGCAGGAAGATTGACCTGAAGCTGCTCCCTGTCCTGTGTGTCACCTACGCATTTCTTTATGCCGACAAGGTCCTTCTTGGACAAGCGGTACGACCAATCCCTGGCCTAGAATACTCCACAAACTGATGACCTTTCCAGGCTCTCTTTGGTATCAAGGATGATCTGGGCTTGAACAGCGGAAATCGCTTCTCTATGGCTTCTTCTATCTTCTACCTTGGGTTTATCTTGGGCGCCTATCCAGTCACCTTCCTGGCCCAGAGATTTCCCATTGAGCGCGTTGCTTCTCTCGCCATCATCGTTTGGGGAACTACTTTGATCCTCACACCCGCTTGTACGAACTTCCATGGATTATACGCGCAAAGGTTCTTCCTCGGTTTCACTGAGGCTGGCATCAGTCCGATTTTTATGATGATCGTCGTATGTGATCTTTTTTGCTCCCATCAAACAATATCGGCTAACCGCGATCTAGGGTGGATGGTACAAAAAGGATGAACAATCACTGAGAATGGGGTATGCTCTAGGATCAACACTGTGTCGATTTGACTTTTAGCTGACTCGCTTCTAGTGCCTGGTACTCATGCACAGGTTACGTCTCCATCTTCTCGCCTCTTGTTAACTACGCACTTGGGCATCTCGGAGGAAGTCTTGCCCCTTGGTTCTATATGTACTTTTTTGCCGGGGCTCTCACCATCATCTGCGGTGTCCTGATTTACTTTGTCCTCCCATCCGACCCTATCCGAGCCAAGGGTTTCAACGACAGGGAACGATTTATTGCGGTGTCTCGCATGAGGACGAACAATTCTGGTGTCAGAAACACTCATTTCAAAGGTAGTCAGGCCATTGAGCTCCTGACCGATATCAAGTTCTGGCTTATCTTCTTCTACGCCCTTTGTGGTATGTTCGCCAATGCTCCAATCTCGACTTTCCAGGCTATCATCATTGATGGCTTCGGCTTCAACCCACTCAACTCGTTGCTTCTCATGATCCCTTCTGGCGTTTATGCTGGTACCATGATGTTGATCACAACATACCTCGCTTACAAATTCCCTGGCTGGCGTGCATATATCATTATTATCTGCCAATTGGTTACGATGGCTGCTGCTCTCATGCTCTGGCTTCTGCCTCGGTCCGAACTTGGAGGTCTCCTTTTTGCTTGCTACATCCTCACGACTACGGGCGCTGGGTATGCAGTAACAATGGGCCTTTTCCTCGCAAACAATGCCGGCTATACCAAACGGTCACTTGCCTCTTCGGGCTTGTATATTGGATACTCCCTTGGTAGGTTATCACCCACAAATGTAAAAGTGCTGCCACTGACCTCCAGCAGGAAATTTCGCAGGACCCCAGGTCTTCCGACACCAAGATTCACCTCATTATAATCTGGGATTCATCGTGGTAGTTATCACGGCGGTTATCGCGGGCTCCTTGGTTCTAGTATATCGAATCCTCTGTTCAATGGAGAACCGCCGCCGCGACAAGACAGGGACCGTGGAAGGCTTTGAACATGCTTACGAGGATGACTTGACTGATAAGATGGTGAGTAACCCGTGTTCTAGTTTGCTCTCATTTATTAACAGACCTGCAGAATATGCAATTCCGGTATTCATTGTGAGAGAACGACGATCGGCGGGTTGGAGGGTAGTTTGGGGAAACTCGAAGTATAACAATTAGTTTAGTCTTAGGCTCGGGAGAATACAATATTTTGTCAATACAGAAGTTACCAATAATTCATTGAACTCTCGGTACAATTGATCGTCATTTCTCAAGGACATCTCGCTGATCATTTCCAACACCGTGTTCCTCGGACAGTTCACATTCACCTCCCCTCCTTAAAGGACCAGCACCGTAACTAACAAACCCATGGAGTATTACATGTATACTGTATCCATGTAATATCTCTGGATATGTGACATTCAATAGCGTAGTATGGTGCAGATAGCATCAACGAAATCCAACTCAGTATCAAGTCTAACGAGAGGGGAAAGAGAGACATCATATGGTTCCATTTTCGACGCTACTTGCTCCACTACCCAGGTGATTATTCTGACTCATATAAGTGTATCGATGATAAACGCAGAATAGATTTAATAGAATAGGCGTAGGAAAGTGTATATTCAAGTTGCAGACTATATAGAAGAAACGTAATAAATCAAAATAGAAAAATATCGATAGCGGGGGCGTGTCTTTGGGTATGTATCTATCTATTTCGCTACCCAGCTCTTATCATCGGCAGCATGGGCCTCTGGTCCCGGCTTAGCAACCTGCACGTACCATCCCAAATCGGCATCCTCCTTCATTTCCCACTCAGTAAATCCATTGCCCAGGAAGCGGAAGGGATTACCAGAGTTGTAAGCAATGTCGTAGTGTTCTGAGCGGATCTCGCCGAGCAGGCGGCGGAACAGGATAGCACTACCCGCGAAAAGATGTGTGACTCTTCCGTCTACAGTGCCTCTCTTATACCAGCTGCGACAGGAACCGGACCAGACCAATGTCTTGTGGATTTCGTCTTGGTATTTGCCAAATGCGTGCACGGAGGACGCCTTTGGGACCATGTATTTAATGTCTTCTGTGGCGATCTTCTTGATCATCTTGACAAAGTAGTCGCCTGTCCAGTTCAATGCCTCAACGAGGGATCCGTGGCCGCACAGGCAGTTGGGTCCGGCCATTGTGAAATAGTTTGGGAAGTCATCGGTTCCTACTGACAGGTAGGAGGTGGGTTCATCCTTCCATTTCTGAGCGAGGTTGACTCCGTTCTGGCCGACCAGAGGGTATTGGGGGCATTTAGAGACGTCGAAGCCAGTGGCACAGACCACTAAGACACTCAGTTAGCGATGAAATGAAAGGTTGACCAAGGGATTAACTTACAAACATCGCACTCAAACTCTTGCCCGTCGGCAGTGACAACTCCCTTCTCGGTAATCTTCGTAATTGGGCTCGAGGTGAGACTGCAATTGGGCTTTGAGAATGACTCTAGGTAGCCAGGGCCGGGGGTCACTCGGCGGCAACCGATCTCCCACTTGGGGATAAGTTGTTCGCACAGCACAGGATCATGGTTGAGCTTCTCAGCCATCTGAGCTGATGCCAGTGCCACCGTAGTTTCGTTGGACTCTCCTTTCATGAACTATATGATGGCCCCTATTAGCTTTCGTTAAGGGGAGGAGTTAAGGGATGTGGCCTTACCAAGCGGAATGCCTTGTTGGTACGGTGGATAATTCCTTTACGGTATTCCCGATGTTGAACAGGATCGCGGAACCGCTCTTTTTCTTCTTCCAAGAATTCAGGATTGGTGTCCTCAGTTTCTCTCCCAAGGTGCTTGGAGGGCGGGACACGATAATAGACCCAGGCCGGACCACGAATAAAGTTGCGCACCGTTGTACCCGGCAGTTTGGTCATTTGAGGCACGATCTGGATACCAGATGATCCGTTGCCGATGACAGCTATCCGCTTGTTGGAGTAATCGAAGTCGTGGTCCCATCGTGCAGAGTGCGTAACATGACCCTTGAAATCGGAAAGTCCGGCAATCTTTGGCCAGGAAGGACTCCTATCCAAATTTTAGTTCACCTTCTTCTCAAGTTTGGATTCTATCAGTTGAGTACTTACACCAAGTTACCTTGGCCTGAGATCAAAATGTCACAGAACTCATCCCGTTCGACTCCTCCGTGTTTCACAGTAATCTTCCATTTTCCTGAATCTTCCTGCCAGTAGGCACCAACGACCTGAGTTTCCAATTGAATATCACGGTCAAGGTTCCACTTCTTTACTGTTGTCTTGATGTACTCTTGAATTGCAGGACCGCTGGAATAGAAGCGAGGCCAGTCTGGGTTAGGGTCAAATGGGAAGGCCTGGGCATGTCAGCAGTGCATTCAAATCGGGAACAGTTCTCGTATACTTACATAGATGTGAGAAGGTACATCACATTGCACGCCAGGGTAAGTATTGACTAGCCAGGTTCCTCCAATATCGCTTCGGCCTTCGAAGATCGTGTGATCAACAAAGTCCTGAAGCTCCGGGTAGGCATGTTGGAATTTATGCGCAAGCACTAGCCCAGAGAAGCCGGCACCAATTGTGATGATACGGAGTTTCCGGGGGTTTAGGGCGTATTGGTTATAGAATGGGACTGAATGTTCTTTGAGCTGGTCGCTAGCTGTAGATTTCGGACCATTCTCGGTGGGTTTGCCGTTGATACGGTCGGCGAAATGCGAAAGCAAGCTTTCCGGGAGGTCCTTCGCTGCTTCCGTGGTGAAAGCCGCAGGAACCTTACCGTCCGCCACATGTGACGTTGGTAGGTTTGGAGTCACGATGGAGGGTGCCATTGCCGTGGGAAAGTGGTTTCGATGAAGGTTGGAGGGTCAGAAGATCCTAGTTGAACTTTTTATAACCCAAAACTTCTGTTGTCAAGTAAGTTAATCGACAAATTGGACTTGTTGATGTATTTCGTTGCCGAGAATCCCCAACTTTATACTAGAACAGGAATGCGGGAGAGAACACACGCGACGCCTCCACCCTTTCCTGTGCAGGCCACCAAGAGAACGTTCCGTGCCGACAGAACGACCCATCCTGCCCCACCAGACGCCGTGACCTTAGTGAAACAAGTTGCATGCCGAAGGGTTCAATCGCATGTACACCCAAGGAAAGCTGGGCAGCCGAGATGATCTCGCTGAACGGGGCTAGCGCGACACGTGCCTACGGCTATCCGCTTTTGGAAACACCGACATGATCGGTTGATTCCTCGTGTCTCGGCTTTGGGGATACTTACTCTGTTGAACCCAAAGTGGATTCCGAATGATTCTTTGAATTGCGAAGACCACTAGTCACCCAAATGGGAATCGCCCACACAGCACTGATTGGCATACAGCCGTCTGCCATACAAGCGCGAGAACGGAAGCGAAATATCTATCGACCCACTAGAATAGTGCACAAAAAGTTCAAAGCCAAACTAGGGTTTAGAACACCCCCTTGAATGTTAGGTGTCGATACATACCTTGAACTCCATCCGACCTCGGGAAGCTCCCCACAGCCTGTATTCTCGCGATCACCACGTGGCACAACACCAACCCTGTCTTGGCGATGTCCAGATAATATTAACGAATGATGCGGATGAGACCAACTTCTGTCACCGCATGCCGTGGTTGCGACGATGACTGAGGCGCAGTGGGTGCAATCCACCCCCGGGACAGGAAAACGCAAACGCGCAGGGCTCGCGTGTATTTCATGCCACTCCAAGAAGGTTAGATCTTCCGTAAGATCCATCTATGGGGTCTTTCACGTACTCAAAAACTATCACAGATCAAATGCGATCTCCAAGCCAAGATACCCCAAGGCCAAAGCAGTTGCAGCAACTGCGCGTCAACGGGGAAAGTCTGCAGGTCGGTGTTCCCCCTGTTAGAATGTTTAACAAGCGGCACTAACCCCGACAACCTATAGCCCGAGGCCATCTAAGCGTGAAAAGGGTCTATTGGCTCCTGGGACTGGGCAATCACCCGTCTCTCCCCCTCTTGCCGATCCTTGTGGCGACAGTAGCGTTGACCTTGCATCCTTGCACTCCGGCGTGGGACAAAGCGGTCCCGGTATTGATGCTGGGGATGTAGACATGCAGGATGTCTCACCTCATAGCTTAGTTCGGCCAAGTCTGTTTGACTTCGATGCGGAACTCCTTCGGAGGACTACCTTCCGCGCGACTGAAGGAACCCAACAATCTGTGACGGCTAGGTCCAAACAAACGCAACCTACCAATACGCCATCGGTATTAGATGCTTGGTCGGCGGGCTGGGGACCTTCGTCCCATGAGCAGTCACATGGAGTCCAGGTGGCAGTTCCATTCCAGCCAGCTTGTGGTCCAGTGAATAGCAGGACGAGTACAACTACGGATGATCCTGGAGCATCAACAGGAGGATCTGAGGGAAAAGACTCAGGTAGTCATGTCGGTTTGCAGCCCGATCTACGTCAAAGCTTTACGGAAACATACTTCGAATACTGCTACACCTGGTGTCCAATACTCGACAGGGCGACCTTATCAACGGAACTCGCAGAATCCCCACTGTTGGATAACGCAATTGCGATCTTAGGGAGCCATATCCGTCCGCCTCTCATCCCACATGCCGGGCCAGCCACTTATTATAGTCGCGCCCGGCGACTCTTCTATGACGAAGAGGTGGAAGAAGAAGAAAAAGAAGAAGACATTATTGCCACCCTGAAAGCGGTCTCCCTCTTTTACTGGTGGGCACCTCGGCCACCGTCGGTCTCACACAGACACTCCTCCTGGTGGTGGACTTCCATCGTCATTAAATTAGCCCAACAAGCCGGCTTTTATAGAGAGTCCGCTACCGACATGTCTAGAAATAGCATCAAGCCATACATTCTACGGCGAATATGGTGGACTGCCTTTGTGGGTATTCCAAGTCAGCTTATTGCTTTGTTTACGCTAAACAATATTTTCAGGCCCGAGAGCGTCTGACGGCGATCTGTCAGGGTAAGCCATGCCTCATAGACCCTGAGGACTGCAATATACCACCGCCATCGTTGCAAGATTTCCCACATTTGGAAGACACGAACAAGGCTGAGGTATTCGTATATTGGATCCGTCTATGCACTATTATCGGACACATTGCAAAGGGACTGTCACGATCGGCAAATTCATCGTCAAATTCCAAAGCCTTCCCTGTGGATTTAGCTAAAGAACTTATTGACTGGGTTCAATCACTTCCTGTCCATTTGCAGCTACACATTGAGTCCCGCCATACACCGAGCTTTAACCGTGATGTGCACCAGCTACATCTCCCTTATCTCGCCGTAATAATAGTTCTTCATCTGACGAGATCACCACAATCGCTTCCACAAGCTTTGCCGCCCGCAACGCTCGCCGGATCCTGCATTGCTCGCATTCTCAAAGATTTCTTGGTAAGGAGTGAGATCAGATCTTTGCAGCCCATTACTTGTTGGTACGTCGGTATGGGCTTCATGGCTCTTCTGCAGGCATCCAGGAGCGAGAGCCTCAAAGATAGTGCCAGTGCAGATCTAGATGTTCTAGCACTCTCTATCAAGGGATTGAAAAATATGTGGGCGACTGCCGCTCTTTTTGAACACAAGTTTGACCGGCTACGATCAAACGAGAGATCTCTGAACTCGGAGGACTTTCCCAATCGCCACCTAGGAAATGAACAATCGACTCGAGCCCTCAATTCGGAGGAAGAAGCGCTGCACAGTGGCATAGATTGGCTGGACTACTTCCCTTTCGTCACCAGTCAGACGAGTGTCGTTGCTAAGAAGCTCCTGGTTCAACAAAGCCAAAACATGGGCTTCGTTTTCTGGGATGGCTTGGATGACGTGACCTCCGACACGATGCCGAATTATCAGGACTTTATGCAAGGACTTGAGAGTTGGGCTGATCCAAATGCCTTTGTGTAGCCTACCTTGGGGGTAAACGGCCATGTCTATTTGATACAACGCTAGGCCGACGACAGCGGTTACACCTTCTCGGCTACCATTTGACTAGCTATTAAGCTAGTGCTTATATAGACCCAGTCAGAATCCAAGCGTTGATGAAGCTGCATAGATGATCCTCATGAAATTATCAACTGGCTCACCCCAGCCACACTAGTTTGTCTTCCATTACTGCAATTTCCATACCGGTTATGATCCGAATACCTAAGATAAAGATGGTTGCTAGACTAGTATCTCTATTTCATAAGCTATTACAAATGCGGGTTTACAACCGACAAATGTCTCCACTGTTATCACGGTACTTATTCGGTCGTTGTACGAATCATTAATATAGTACCAGTTCCGAGAGCCGAGAGTATCGGCAATTCCGGGATTTGTTCAGGACTTCATAATGATACATACAAAGCCCTGTTCAGACCTTGGCGCAGTGGCTGATAGTACGAAACTGACCTCAGACATGAGATAACGGCGCATCAGCAAGCAACCAATTTAACAAAAAATACATTGATTTCATCCATCAAAGCCTCACACAATATGTGCGACTTCTCAAAATACGGTATTCCCAGCGAGGAATGGCTACGTGTGGAAGCCACTTTGCCACCAGCGAAAGAGCAGAGCCTGTCCCAGCTGAAGCGAACAGCCAACGAAGGCAGAGAAACCGTGGCGCAAAAGGGGATGGCAGATTTTTCTACCAAAGTCTCTACGCAAGATCACTCAATTGCTGGACGTGATGGCTACAAATTAGAGGCGAGAAGTTATCGTCCAATCTCAGCATCCCCTACTGAGAATCTGCCAATTTACATGCACTTTCACGGGGGTGGCTTTTTGTTTGGTACTTTGAGCTCGGAGGATGCGATCTGCTCACGGCTTGCTGTCAACACACAAGTTATTGTTGTGAATGTCAACTACCGCCATACTCCCGATTATACATATCCGACTGCCTGGAATGATGCCGAAGACGCGTTCCTTTGGGTCTGCGAGAACGTTTCTAGATTGCACGGTGATCCGGACCGAATCGTCATCGGCGGGATATCGGCCGGTGCATGGCTCGCCGCCTCTTTGACACTGGCAGCATCGAGATCAGAGCTCCCAGTCTCGCCAGCCTTGGCAATTTGTGGCCAGGTACTGATGATCCCTGCTCTGGTGTACACCAAGTGTTATGAATCTCAACTACGCCAAATAAAAAGTCCTAGTGTCTCGTCATATTCTCAAAACGAGAACGCGCCGATCCTGAATATGCGCAGGAAGCAGCTGTTCAATGGTCTTTTACAAGTGGAAAACCCAGATCCGACTGACAAACGGCTGAATCCTGGGCTTTTGTCCTCTGAAGACGCGACAATGTTACCACCAACAACACTTGGAATTGCGGGCTATGATCCTCTAAGAGATGAAGGGCTGTTATATGGAAAGCTATTGACCGAAAATGGGTGAGCAAATATTCGAGCAGGGTCAATCTATATCCCCCACTAACGCAATATTAAAGTGTACCGACGAATATCAATGTGTTCAAAGGTGTACCCCATGGATTTCGACGTTTTGGCGAGAGATTGTCAGTTTGCAAGCAATGGGATCAGACCATGGAGGACGGAATTAGATGGGCTTTAACGAAGCCTTCTGCCTCAGGGGAGTTTGTCATTCAGGAACATTAATCGGCTTCTGGGATGCTGGTATATCAGTGGTACTGGAATGTTGTTCAATAGATACATGTATCTATGTGGTTCAAAATATGTCTTTTCATAGGATTTTCCAATTTCATTTGTCCCACCAACTAGCTATCAGCCGTATGAAGGCATCATGACGCCTTGTAGGATGTTTGAGACATACCTCGCGTGACTGTGTACCAATAACAAGTACTCCCATCCTCCAAATTAATTCCAAACGACTTTCCCACTTTGTATTTTCAATTTTGCAACGTTCCGAGGTTCTTTCCCCCTGCCGCTCCCCCGGAATTCCCCACAAGTGAACGCGGGGTACATGGACCGATGTCGCACCACATCTTCGGCTGTGAGGTATATCGGTTATCCTAATCTGGAAGCCCGGGGTAGAGTCTTTCGGCTTATTTTCCGAAGCTAGCGCACCTTGTACGTTTATTTCGATCTGAGAATCTAAGCCGGAGATTCGGCAAGAATACCCCTCCAATGTGTATCGCAAATATTTACATATTTATGACAATCGCAACGCCATGCTTACAGAAACTATCTTCTTCTGAAAGACTGAGATAAGCATAGACATCACACTTAGAGGCATCAAGTCACTTATAACACGAGGTTGTACCCAGCATTATCTCTGCTTTCATCTATGTCACCACCCGCAGCAACTATAGAGCCGATGGCTTCAGTCATGAAGCCTGGTCTCCAGAATGGCTTTAGCAACAAGACCACCGTCGGCGCTCATCAGCATCGCCTCGACCCCGGGTACACCATTGTTGAACAGCCCATCGGCACCCGGCGGCCACTTCGCGTGGTCTGCCTTGGCGCAGGGTACTCAGGTCTTATGATGGGTATTGTCTTCAATGAGCGCATGAAGGATGCCAATGCAGAATTTGTTATTTATGAGCGAAATGCCGATTTGGGAGGAACTTGGTATGAGAACCGGTAAGTGTGATGAGCCCGGGCTAAATCTAGCATTCCATTGTAGCTAACGCGTCGATTATAGATACCCGGGATGTCAGTGTGATATTCCAGCGCATAACTATGCCTACAGCTTTGCTGCCAACCCGGGGTGGCCGAATTATTACGCGACATCAGAGCAGATTCATTCCTACATGAAAGATGTGGCTAAGCAATACGAAGTCGAGAAATATATTCGCCTTCAACATTCAGTTGAATCTGCTATTTGGAATGAAGAAAGGGGCAAGTGGGATCTCCAGATCAGGAATGGTTCTACCCTTATCCGAGACGAATGTGACGTCTTCATCAATGCCAGCGGTGTATTGAAGTATGCATTTCCTTTCCTGTCTTTGGTCATGTGGATGCTGACAAAATGATATTACAGCAATTGGAAGTGGCCCTCAATTGAGGGACTGAACAGTTTTAAAGGACGACTCATGCATTCGGCGCACTGGGACTCTAGCTATGACTTCACCGGAAAACGTGTTGCATGTATCGGAATCGGATCTTCGGGCATTCAGATTGTCCCAAAACTCGCTAGTGGTACGCCTGTACACCTATTCCATCAAGTCTACCAGGGAACTGATCTTTCTAGTCGTCGGGAATATGGACTGCTACGTACGGAGCCAAACGTGGATCAGCCCGGCCCCTGGAATCAACGAGCCTACAGCAAATGACCCAGAAATGGATAAGGATTATAATTTTGCAGAAAGCACTTTAGAGCTGTTCAAGGATCCCAAAGTCCTTCGTGACTATCGCGCCGCCATCATGAACCGAAGAGCAGAAAACTTCAATCGGGTGATTGCTGATTGTGACCTCCAGCAACAGGCTCAAGATCTCTTCCGAAAGTCCATGACCGACCGCTTGGGTAACAGTGAGAAGGGAAAGCGCGCGGCTGAGCTTCTAGTGCCCTCCTTCCCAGTTGGATGCCGTCGCCAAACACCAGGACCTGGGTTCTTGGAAGCTATTATCCAGGATAACATCGAGTTGAGATGGGATGATATCTCAAAGATCACTGAGCGAGGAATCCTTACACGAAGCGGCGTTGAGTTGGAATATGACATTATTGTTTGTGCAACTGGGTTTGACACTTCGTTCAAGCCTTCATTCCCACTGGTGGGCCGCAACGGAGCCAACATGGCGGAGAAGTGGGAAAAGGACGTCCCAAAGGCATACATGGGCATGTGCGTCCCAGAATTTCCAAACTACTTCTGTAAGTCTTTCCCTTTTTTTTCTCCCTTCCACCGTGATTCCTTTTTACTAACATGCTTAGGTTTCGTGGGACCCAATTCACCGCTGGCAAACGGGTCACTGATTCTTGGCATTCAAGCAACAGCCACCTATATCTACAAATGGATGGAAAAGATGCAAACAGAAGGTATTCGCAGCTTCGAGGTCGATGACCAAGTCAACGAGGAGTACAACCAGCACATCCAGAAGTACCTTGAACGTACAGTTTGGACTCGAGATTGCCGCAGTTGGTACAAACGTGGTACTATCGATGGCCCAGTTATCGCCATCTACGGTGGATCTATCTTCCACCTCTTGGAAGCTATGAAGAACCCGCGCTGGGAGGACTTCAAAATGGATCGGACGCCTGAAGCAAAAATCAACCGGTTCTCATATCTAGGCAATGGAACCACTTTGAGAGAGGCCAAGGGAGGCGACATCGGTGCGACTCAAACGCTAGACTTCGATGAGTTCTGGAACCTGTTTGTCCTCCCAGAAGTCCACAACTAGAAGGGGTATGGGGAAAGTTTGTATATAACTCCAATGCTTTTGTCCATTTTCCGTCCTGAAATTTTCGAGTGCATAGACTCTAGATAGTGAAGAGGGGAAGGCTCAAAGCAGTATGCTTAATGGCATACAGGCTGATTCGGCACTCACAATTTAGCTTCATATCCAACCTTGCATACCAAGGAACCCGGGCGTACAGCCCAGGAATTGAGATCAGAGAGGTCTAGAAGTTTGTATTATCAATAGTTATGTAACTATCTACTAACTGTATCCTTTTCAAAAAAAAATAATTACATAATGAATCGTGCAATAAAAGAACTTCGGCAGGGCTAGCAAGGCCTATACGTAGTGAGCACCAGGTTCCCCACTACAATAGGTAAACAAAATTACTTGTGTTCTTTCAATTCGTCCGAAATAGTAAATCTTGGGTTTCTTCTATTGTTCCTGAATAGTCTCATAAATTGCAGTGGCTGTATTCAGATATTCGTGGGCTACTATCGTCATGTGTATCAAGGAATGGTATCACAGTTTGGGCATTGAGCACCAACCCACGAGGCGGGGTAAACGGGCACAAATACATCCGTAAGACGAATTTCTCACATCATTCCAACTTCTATT